TCTTTTTTTGCTGCATTAAAAATTTCTAGGTGAGAATTCCAAGATATAGGTACTCTCCTGGTCCTTAAATTCTCCTCTACTCTTGCAGGGATCTGACGGATGATAAGCCGATGGTAAAATGCTGGAGTTCATTCCTTGGATACCCACAAGTTGTGACTCACGTCTACGTCCACGGAGCTGAGGAGCTGCAGAACCAGGACCGTACAGGAGGTTAGAGGACTTTACACAAGCCAGACTTTTACCTGAAATCTACTAATAAGCGTGATCAGCCCACGGGTATGGTTTGCTGAAATCGATCTTTACATTTTCTCATGCAGGTGCAGACCCGTATGTCATTATATCCTGTGAGGGCCGGTCAGTACGATCCACCATCAAGTTGGACACCCTGCAACCAGAGTTTACAACCAGCGGCATTTTCTTCAGGAAGAAGCCCAGAAAGCCCATAACTGTGGAGGTAAGATGGCATCCCTCTCATCCTGATGACTGTAATTAATCTCAGTGACGGTAGAAAGGCATTGTGGGTCACTGTCCTGTGGAAACCATGTATCTCGAAAACTTCAGACTCAGAAAAGCTTGTTTTAAGCTCAAAGACGAGGCATTATTCAATGATCTGATATCTTTTTAAATGGTTTTGGGAGCAAAGTGTTGGAGAATGTTTGAGAAACGTAATCCTTTAATTTATATAAAAAATGTAAGAATCTGAGATGTATTACTACCAAGTAACTTGTTAAGCAGCCCCTAATATACTTGTTAAAGTCAGATTTGAGTGTTTTCATATTGAAAAATAAGATGCAATGTGCTTTTGCAGGTCTTGTTGGTCATTTTTACATTGCAAAGCAAACAAACCCCCTTTTTTAATAAAACTAGTGCTTGGATATTATTAGCTCAACAGTATTAGTTTCAATGGTGTGGAAGGTCTTTCATGAAAAAATTAATTCAAAATTGAATATAGACTAATAAGAAAACCTCAGTTTATTTATATTTTTAATGCATTTTTTCACATTTATTTTATTTTCTAATATATGTCCGGTGCTGACAATAACTAATAATAATGAGAAAATTAACTGACTGAGTCCATAAACAACAAAAGCTGACATTGATCAACTGACATGCAATGGCAGCTTGTAATCAGCAGTAATTGAAAGCACAGGACATGATCTTTGCCTGATGACGTTATCGCTCAACATAATCAAATCAGACTCGCCAACCACTCCGTCAAAGCCCTGCAGATGACCTGTTGTCCTTCTGTGATATCCGACGGTAAGTCATACATTTAATACTCGACTGGTCTTCGTCAGGTGTGGAACAGCAACGGAGTGAAGGACGAGTTCATGGGCCAAGTGGTGCTGTCCGGGTCGGTGAAGGACACCTCCGAGCCTCAGAGGCTTCAGCTGAGGAAGCGAGGACGGCAGATGGCTGACGAGATGCCCGGTAACATCAGTGTGCGGATTATCACGTCCACTCAGCTGACCGCTATGTGATCTCATCACTGACCTGAGCGAGGCCCAAATCGTTTTTTAAGTGTTGAACTATGTGGTGAACATCTTGTGAAACTTACTTGGCATGTGCCGTCATCGAAGCACCGAGAACAGTTGTGGTTTAACTTGCTTTCTGCTGTTTGATGTCCATGCTTGTGCCTGATTTTACACTATAATTTGCATGTTAATGAATTGTTTGCAAAGTTGACAGGTGAGCAGGGCAGTTCGCGACAGAGTGAATGTCAATTCCTGTCATTTTTATCCAAATGTTTCATCTTTTAAATTCTCTTACTTTTTAAATCATTGTGTAACTTGTGAAGTATTTTTATATTGACGTTTTGTAAGTTGCGTTCAAAGATATCATTCCTTTTTTTTTTTTTTTATGTTGCACTATAGATACTGTGAGTGATATGGCAGTAATATGTCATTCAAGTCTTAACATACATAAGCTTAATTTTGTCTATGTTCACCTTTATGCATAGAAACTCGTACAAGACATGATAATGTATCATCTAATCTTCTGTAATGCTCCTTTCTTCCATCAGTTTATATCATGTTTTATTCTCATGATTATTAAAAAAAATGCAAAACACTGAATGGCAGAAATAATTGAAAGAAGTTCAACCTCAGAATCACAGTAGCATTAACACAACTCTGGTTTTCTTCCTCTTTTTATTTCAGTCCAGTTCCCAAACTGCAATATTTTGTTTTTTACACTCAAGACACAGCCATGCACAATTCAAAGTTCAAAAAGTCTATTGCTTCAACCACAATTAAAAATAGTTTATCCAAAACCTCATTTCCCCGTCACTCATTTGTCCTTTTTCAAAGATGGGGGGGGGGGGGGGGGGGGGGGGGG